GTATCTAACATTTTTCCCGTGTCCATGCCCTTCTGGCAGGCTCAGACTGCCTGGCGGGAGGAGGGTCGGTCCTCCTTCAATCAAACACTTCCTGTCCAGCCGAAGCTCCTACCTGTGACAGTAAATACCTGAAGGAGCGGAAGCAGTAATCCAATGTTAACTCCCTAAATGATGCATGCAGTATCTATAGCCCTTCCTTCATGCTCATCCTGGTGACGGTCGGCATATGATGTCATTTTCTATTTCTTCTAACTGTATAAACCTTGCAACAACCTAAATTAGAATAAAACTAAGATGCTTTCTTTAAACCAAACTATGATGTTCCTCTCATGCTGATGAAGGTTCTCAGTCATCCAGGTCATAGTCATTCTGTAAAAGTTCAAAAAAATATCCACTGGACTTGGTTTTCAAGATTTGAAGACGTTTCGCTTCCTCTCCATGAAGTTCTCTCAATTCAAATGTCTGGATCCGCAGTGAGTTTGAGTCTTTATATAAACCAGGCCTTGTATCGCTTGGAAACATGCAAATGGAAACCGATGAATGGGTCGTTTGGTTCCATTGTTAGCCTGTAATACCTGAAATCATAGACAGGGTTCAGATATTACAGGCTAACGATGGAACCAAACGACCCATTCATCGGTTTCTATAAAGACTCAAACTCACTGCGGATCCAGACATTAAAATTGAGAAAGCTTTCTGGAGAGGAAGCGAAACGTCTTTAAACCTCGGAAACCAAGTCCAGTGGATATTTTTTGAACTTTTACGGGATGTTCCTCTCGTATTTGGCGATTTTATGTTTGAATATTTTCCAAAAATATGTTGCGCTGCATGATGGGGATTTGCATCTAAAAGCTAACGTTTCCCGTCTTCCATTAATTGTTGCTAGGTTGGGATGCTTGCTAATTTGGCAATTTAGATTTATGGCCTAAGAGATCAATAGCTTTTGGTTCAAATTGGGCAAGATTTCGTTTATCCAGGCAGTTCATGAACATTTTTTGGGCTGGAAAACGTGAGTCAGTGACATCTGGCGACCCTGCTGATGCGGTGAGTGCGGACGTTCAGCAGCAGCAGCCACTGTGGCTGTCAGGAATCCAGTTTGTGTGGTTTGTTTTTGTATTTCCTTTCCTCCTCCACCAGGTGGTGCCCCGTCCTCATCGGGCCTCCCTGCACACCTGCAGCTCGTTGCCTCATTACCTGTGGAGGATTCTTAAGCTGCTGACTGCCACTACCTCAATGCCAGAGTTTTTCCCAGTTCTGGGTACTCTAGCCAAACTGAGTTTTACTGAGTCAAACTGAGTTTCTTGTTTACCTGAGTTAAAATCTAGCTGTTTTTGTCTTTGCCTCTCGGCAGGAAGTCATCCTGCAAACTGGATGTTTTGGACCTTCTCTCCCCTGGAAGGATCTTCTGATAACCAAGCTGAGCTGAGGAGAAGTTTGTGGATTGGATCAACCTTTCCCCCCCCAAGATCGTCTGGAGCTTCTCTCTGAGCANATTTTATGTTTGAATATTTTCCAAAAATATGTTGCGCTGCATGATGGGGATTTGCATCTAAAAGCTAACGTTTCCCGTCTTCCATTAATTGTTGCTAGGTTGGGATGCTTGCTAATTTGGCAATTTAGATTTATGGCCTAAGAGATCAATAGCTTTTGGTTCAAATTGGGCAAGATTTCGTTTATCCAGGCAGTTCATGAACATTTTTTGGGCTGGAAAACGTGAGTCAGTGACATCTGGCGACCCTGCTGATGCGGTGAGTGCGGACGTTCAGCAGCAGCAGCCACTGTGGCTGTCAGGAATCCAGTTTGTGTGGTTTGTTTTTGTATTTCCTTTCCTCCTCCACCAGGTGGTGCCCCGTCCTCATCGGGCCTCCCTGCACACCTGCAGCTCGTTGCCTCATTACCTGTGGAGGATTCTTAAGCTGCTGACTGCCACTACCTCAATGCCAGAGTTTTTCCCAGTTCTGGGTACTCTAGCCAAACTGAGTTTTACTGAGTCAAACTGAGTTTCTTGTTTACCTGAGTTAAAATCTAGCTGTTTTTGTCTTTGCCTCTCGGCAGGAAGTCATCCTGCAAACTGGATGTTTTGGACCTTCTCTCCCCTGGAAGGATCTTCTGATAACCAAGCTGAGCTGAGGAGAAGTTTGTGGATTGGATCAACCTTTCCCCCCCCAAGATCGTCTGGAGCTTCTCTCTGAGCAGGGGATTCATCTCCACAATAACCCGTTCGAGTACCGCAGGAAATCTCAGTGGCAGTCAGCTTCTCCGTTCACCTACAAACAACTGCAATCTGGGTAAAAACTGTCCGCCCTCCATCAAACTAGATAATCACTGAAACATTCCACACAGACTGGATTCAATTAAAGACACCTTTTTTCTGGAAACGTGGGTCAGCAACCTATTCCTCCTCTTCAAGTCAAAGAATCTAATTTCCCACTGAGCCTGAACTAACCGCAGTGTCTTCCCCTCACTTTCCAGTTCTGGTTTGACAGTGTTCACAGCAGATCTGGACTCATCTAATCCATAAGTGGGCTGGTGTAGATGGAATCTGGGTCAGCTGCTCTCCAGCTACATGAAAGGCTGGTAAAGCCGCCCCATGCCTGATGGCGCCCTGGGTGCGACGCCGCCCCATGCCTGATGGCGCCCTGGGTGCGACGCCGCCCCATGCCTGATGGCGCCCTGGGTGCGACTCCGCCCCATGCCTGATGGCGCCCTGGGTGCGACGCCGCCCAGTTCTCTTTCATCCTAAATGCTTTTTTAGTTTCAGTTGTGATTTAATTTTTCTGATCTGAGGTTTAGCTGTGAAACTCTCTGCTCCTAAATAATCATTGCTTTGTTCTTTACAGGTTTTCTGATGAGTCCAGCTCCTGCATCATCCTCAGTTCAACTGATAAGTGACGTCAGAGATTTGGGTATTGACAGGTGACGTCAGAGGCCATCAGATCAGCTGTGGATGCTGAGGGAGAGTCTAGGTGTCTTTAAAGGGGAAGTGGGCGGGTCACCCTCCTCCTCCTCCTCCTCCTTACACACCCAGGGAGGAGGAGGAGGAGGAGGAGGTGTGTATGGATGTAGGGAGCCGGCCGCCGGCCTCCCTCCCTCCGCGGCTCCTCTCCTCTATAAAAGCTGAGCGGGATGTCAGCGCGATGAGCTCCGGGATGAAGATGCTGCTGCTCGGTGTGACGCTGCTGCTGCTCCGGGCCGCCGGAGCAGACCTGTCCGGGTCAGCCGCTCCGCACCCCGGGCCGGTTCTCTCCTCACCCTCCGCCCCGCCGCTCGGACCGCCGCCCGGGGCTCCCGGAGTCGCCCTGAGCCGCTCGGCGGTGGAGGAGGAGCAGGAGGCGGAGGAGCACCACGGCGGCGGGTACCGGGTGGTGCAGTGGGAGTGGAGCTACGTCCAGACTCCCTACATCATCGCCATCTGGCTGCTCGTGGCCAGCGTGGCCAAGATCCGTAAGTACGCTGCTGCGCGTGCACGCGCGCGCGCGTGAGCCGGTTCTGTACTGGGATCCAGTTTGACCCATAAACTGGTTTCATAGCTTTTCCTCTGGTTCCATTCCAGCAGCACTGCTGAATATTTAACAGCATGAAGAGAAAAATCTGATAAATTACATTAAATATCAAAGATAAAAAAAAAAAAAAAAATCTTTAGTTTAATTTATTCCTGAAATAAATTTTTCTAATTAAAGAGAAAAAAACAGGAAGTTTATGATCAGATCCTTTAATTGGAAATAAATGTGGATAAACCTGTTGAAGGTTCACCTTTAACATCAGTCTGTAAACCGGTTCAAACTGGATCCCGCTCCACCTGAGATGTTCCTACCTGAACCTCTGCTGGGGGCCAAACATGAGAGGAACCCTCCATGGGCCCCTCTAGACCTGGGGCCAACAGGGGCCCCTCTGATGGAAACATAGAAGAATAAGG